GGTATGGCACTAAGTAAGGTAAAGTCAGAGAAAGACAAATGCCCCATGATCTCACTTATTTATGGTTGTCATTGCTTTTCTATTTCCAAAAGCCCCCCTCCCACATTTGTCACTTGGATTTTTACTTTGCTTATCGTATTCTCTCTCCCTCCCTCTCTGTTTTGTCATTCAAGAATTTTTTTTCCCTCGAAGTCAAATTCACCAGTAATTTTGTAAAGTATGCCATATGCTCAATTTATGGATGAATTCACTCCTGTTTTCTGCTGGTACTTGCATGATTTTGATTTTTTACATTCGTATTTCTGTTTATTTTTTTATCCTAGTATTTATGATTGTATATGATTTTATCTTTCTCTGTAGGGCTAGTCAATGATCTCCGATTCCTGTATAAATACGTTTATTTCCTTCCACCGATTTGACGTGTAGCCTACATTGTATATCAGTCTCGGTCTTCAACTGGCTCTGGGATTTCTATCCAGTTCCATTGAGCTATTTGTGGTCAGTACAACACAGGCTGAATTACAGAGGCTTTAGGAGCTATTTTAAAACCACTTAGGTTTATCCATCCTCCTTGTCTTTCAGAGTTTTCCTGGCTAGTTATTGCTTGTTTGTTTTTCCAAGTAAACTTTATACCTAATGTATTTAGTTCTACAGCAAAACCCGATCCACATAATAATGTTGACTCTTCACATCTAAGAACATGGCATGTCTTCCACGTGTACAATTCTACTTTTGTGTGTCTTTGTGGTATTTCATAATTTTCCTTATATATGCTCTGGATATTTCCTATAAAGTTTTTGCCTAAGCTCTATCTATTTACCTATGTCATGGGTACGTTTTCTTATGCAGCACTGAGACAAAAATATTCACACAATTAGCAATGCCCACTACAAATTTTAGGCTGCCATTCATTGCTGTAGAAAAAGTTATTAATACCTGGCACATTTGTAGTAAACAAGGAGGTCTGAGCAGCCAAGCCCTTTAGTGTAATTAAATAGATTCCCCAATCAAACACACATGTAGCCTCTAGAGTACATGAAATAGGAAAAGGCATTTTTTCCCATAATTTGTGGCCCAAATTGAAACTACAACTGCAGACTAATGAGTCAATGGACATTTCAAATCATTCTCAGTTGATTTCAGTCTGTTTTATAGCAAAGCAAACAGCATAGCGGATGTGGTCATGGCACATAAAGACTTGCTTAAGATTATACAAGTAAAGAAGAGATTTTTTTTTAAAAAATCATTATATAATTTTACTCAGGGTTATTTGAAAAGAGGTAAGAACTATAAACATTTCTGTGGGTGAGCTGCTGTACCCGGGTCGAGTACGACCTTAGCTCCTACCACATGTGAAATCCTTCAGATTGGGAACCAATAAGATTTGTTTGTCTTGACAGTTGAGAGGTGATTTTTCACAGAGCATTAAAATGTGGCCATTAAAAGGGAAATGTAGCATTAAATTTGGGGCATTAAATTCATTTTTTAAAATATTTTATTTACTTATTTGAGAGAGGCAGAGTGAATGTGTGGGGGAGAAGGCAGGGGAGAGAGAACCTCAAGCAGACTCCGCGCTGAGCCTGGAGCCCAACATGGGGCTCGATCTTACAACCCTGAAATCATGACCTGAGCAAGAACCAAGTGTCAGACGCTTCACTGACTGAGCCACCCAGGTGCCCCTAAACTCATATGTTTTTAAAATGATGCGTAAGGAATCAGAGCATCTCAACACAGCTCCTGTTAGATTCAGAAATGAGAGAACCGTCATGCAGACACATAATAACACACTTACTTAAATTTAAAAGCATAACTTGACTTTTTAAACCAAAATTAAATTTGATTTGGCTTTATAGTTGGGCAATAAAGGCTTATTTTGAGGGACACCTGGGTGGCTCAGAGGTTGAGCGTCTGCCTTCAGCTCAGGGCATCATCCTGGGGTCCCAGGATTGAGTCCCACATTGGATTCTCTGCATGGAGCCTGATTCTCCCTCTGCCTGGGTCTCTGCCTCTCTCTGTGTGTGTTTCTCATGAATGAATAAATAAAATCTTTTAAAAAAGGCTTGTTTTTTTTTAAAAAAGGCTTGTTTTGCTATTGAGTTTAAAGGGCAGACATTATCCATAAACTGAATTAGCTAAATCTATAATCCTAAGACCTTAAGAAAAAGAGATTTAAAGTCTGAGATAAATATAAAAAAATAGTGAAAGGGAATAAAGGGGAAAGGAGAAAAAAATGAGTGGGAAATATCAGAAAGGGAGACAGAACATGAGAGACTCCTAACTCTGGGAAACAAACAAGGGGTGGTAGAAAGGGAGGTGGGTGGGGGGTGGGGGTGACTGGGTGATGGGCCCTGAGGGGGGCACCTGATGGGATGAGCACTGGGTGTTATGGTATATGTTGGCAAATTGAACTCCAATTAAAAAAAAAAACAACTTAGAAATCTGTATAAAATTTGGCCAAATGTGTAAATAAAGATTAAAAAATAAAGTTTGAGGTAAGATTTTTTAAAATTTCATTAAAAAACACTATATTGGCCAATGTGAGTGAATGCTGACAATATTTCAACTTCCTCGAACCTACGGATAATATATTAGGCTTAGAAAGTGCCTGGGGAGTGAGGACATTAAACTGAATGTTCTGGTCATTTTACAACATACACCTATATCAGATCAGTATGTTGGGTGCCTGTAAATAATATCATGCTACATATGTCAATTACAACTCAACAGAATAATAAAAAGAAACTGGGAAAAAAAAACTGGTCAGCTTTGCCATTCCTTAGCCCCCACCAGCATGCCAGTAAAATTAGTTGCTGTGAATTCTAAGTTGAGACTACTGAGAAACATAACAAGGATAAAAACAGGAGTATGATGTCAAATCAGTCATTTTTACTTTTTAAAATGTTAACTAGAAAACAATTTCAGTAATTATAGCAAATTGTAATATTTCTTTATGGATATCTATAGAATGCTTCATAAGCTAAAAAATTCTTTCACGTATATTTGATTTCTACATCCGTTTCTATTGTACTTGTTTCTTTAAGAAAGATGTTTTCAAACATTACTATTATTTTATTTTATTTTTTAAAAAAGGGTGCCTGGGTGGCTCAGTTGGTTGAGCATTTGACTCTGGATTTTTGCTCAGGTCATGATCTCAATGTCCTGGGGCTGAGCCCCATGCCAGGCTCTGGGTTCAGCAGAGAGTCTGCTTGAGAGTCTCTCTCTCCCTCTGCCCTTCCCCCTGCTGGCATGCTCTCTTTCTCTCTCTCTAAAATAAATAAATTAATCTTTTAAAAAAAGAAAGTGTCTCTAAGTCAAGAGTACAACTGTTATTTGTTGTTAAATGTTGGTTAAGTTTTTTCTTAAACTTTCCAGAAGTAACTTCAGTGTGAATGACTGGCGAATCCCTTACAAGACCAATGGCTTTCAAGTCTTCGCTACTGATAGATTTGAAAGAGAACCTAATCAGATACAGATAGAAGGGCATTCAAGTCATTTTCACGGTACAGGACTCTGTGAGTAACCAGAAGGGGTGCAGGGACCTGAAAGGTAACAGAACTTTCCCATCCTCATGAACTTGTTCACATAAGATGTTCTCCAAGCTTAATATAAATTAAAAGAGTCACAAATTTAATGTGGAAGCTTATCTAGTTTCATCCATAAATTACAGTCATTAATGGATCTATGAAATAGATGAAAAAAAAAACCCTTCATCCTATTAAAAGGTGGCATCTTTTTCAAAAATTAATTTTTCATGCTCAACAAGTATGTATCAGCGGTCATAATATATTCATACCATTTTTATGTATTTGCAGCTGTAATAAGAACTTAATCTACAAGAATGTTTTCCTACTTTACAGCTTTAGGATCACATGAAATTTTAAAAATCTAATTTAAATAGACATTTTTATCTTAGATCACATTTCACATCAAATCTTTATAAAAGACTTTTAAGTATAAAATATATATTAAATAGAATAAAATAGTGCCGGATGACTGGTAGGAATATGAAATCAAGAAAAAGAATAATAATGCAAAATTTCTTACGGCTATGGAAGAATCTACCCATATAATTTTTAAGTCATGATATCAAACTTTTTAGCTACACTTTAAATGTCAATATTTTTAAGATGCAATGAACTATTTTCCTTCAAATATTTAATATTGTGAAGAGAGGTTTTACATGCCAGCTTGGAAATATGGGGCATAGGTAGTTTTTAAAAAATCCTTACGGGGATCCCTGGGGTGGCTCAGTCTGTTAAGCATCCGACTCCTGATTTCAGCTCAGGTCATGATCTCAGGGTCGTGGGATCGAGCCTGTGTCAGGCTCTGTACGAAGCATGGAGACTGCTTAAGATTCTCTCTCCCTCTCCCTCTGCCCCTCCCTTGCTGCTCAAACACCCATGCTCTCTCTCGAAAGAAAGAAAGAAAGAAAGAAAGAAAGAAAGAAAGAAAGAAAGAAAGAAAAGAAGGGAAGGGGAGGGGAGGGAGGAAGGAAGGAAGGAAGGGAGGAAGGAAGGAGAAGGAAATGGAAGGGAAGGGAAGGGAAGAAGGGAAGGGAAGGGAAGGGAAGGGAAGGGAAGGGAAGGGAAGGGAAGGGAAGGGAAGGGAAGGGAAGGAAGAAAGGAAGATCCTTCGAAGTATAGTTGCAGAATTCAGGAACTGGTAGATTCATGATGGAAAAGAGGGCCGTGTGGCCCCCAAGCCATCAGCTGCTCCTGAAGGTAGGGAGGCGATTCCAGAGGGCATAAATTCAGTTCATCTAACCAAGGACCTCCTGACCGCGTAGACAGTACAGAGAAGCAGGAAATCGAACACCCCACGTCTTCCAAACTAGCACGGGCGCGTTAACGGGCAGCCCTCCGCAGCCTCGTGCCTCGGTCTGGACTAAACATACAACAACCAAACAGCTACACGCATCTACACTTCCGTTTTCTAGAAGGCCCGTGAAGCAGTGAGAAGCCCACCGGTTAGCAAGAAGCACCTGCAGGGTTAGTACTCACGTTCGAGCCCCTTCCCAAAGCGGACTGCGAGGCGTCCTCATCGCTGTCCACCCCGGCCTGCGCGGTCCGCTCGGCCTGCAACACAGACACGCACGTCAGCTCCGCGGCGAGGTCGGTCCAGACAAAGAGTCACCGCGGACCCTGGCCTGGATGTGGGAGGCCACGGCCACGGCCCTCGGTGCAGGAACCTGGAAGCCCGTGACCCAAGGGCTCACTGAAAACCAGTGCGGGAACCCACGCTCCACGGGCATGTCCGTCTCTTGTCTTTTTTGCTTAGAAAAGCCCATCTTTAAGCTTAGAGAACATGCGATATGAAAAACAGTACTTTTGTGGATCTGGGCGGAAGGAATTTGCTCGGAAAACCAATTAACTAACCGGTGTGGGGAGACTTCTGAGTTTTACATTCAGTTTACCATCTCACTGCTCATCGACTGAGCACGTACAGGAATAATTCACCAAACGTCTTGCTGTCCGTCCACAGACGATAAGCGATAATGGCATCTCACTTCATCGTTCAAGCGAGCTGGCCACCAGTGCAACAGAAAGGTACGCTGGCCCTGGGGTGCCAACCTGACTCCCTCCCCCCAAAATGAGCACCTTTGGGGAGATGACCCAAGAATCCCATTGTTAGGCTACGTCCCAGGGTGATTCTTAGGTACTTTTTCAGAATAAATAATCTTAAAATCGTACAGAATTATCATGTTATAAAAACAGTAAAATAGGAAGTTTTAAAAGAAGGAAAGACATCTACCTCAGCCCAAATGATATTCCTTAAGTGTATCTTCTGTTGAGATTTTACACACACACACACACACACACACACACACACACACACACACACAGATGAATACATTTCTTCGCTTTAAGGAGATGTTATAAAGACCCACATTAGCTGGATTGCCTAGCTATTTCCCCATTAGTATTTTGTGCTCTTGAGACATTTGTAGACTATCTGGCATCATGACATTTTAGAAACCATTGAAATGATGATTTCCTGCAAACCCTCTCCGTATTAATGAAGAAAAGTGGCGTCCTGGACGAGTCAGGCATGGATGGTGTGACCACGCAAGGAAGAGTCAGGGTTCTGGAAAAGACGGGCTGGACTGACGGTCACTGGCCCCCGCGGCAGCTCAGGGGTGTGCAGCCCTCCTTCCTTCACCTGCAAAATGAGGTGGGCAGTGCCCCTCGCCAGGCTTCCAGAAGACTAACTGAAGCTGCACTTAGCATGGCATTTCACACCACGGAGGGAAAAGAAACAGGGAATAAAGAAGTTGGTGCCCCAAACACCAAATAATCCGGTGAGGATCTGCTCAAAGAAAAGAAGTCTAAGGCAATGTAAAATAAGCGGGAGGATGAGAGGACACGCATTAGGGAGGAAAAATCCGCCCCGCTGGCTGAGAGGGAGCCGGGGCAGCCAGACGGGAGTCCCTGCAGCCCGTGGCCCATTCACTCCCAGGGTCCTCCCGTGGTTGGACCTGTGGCCTCTCCTCACGGACCCTTGGAGAGGGAGACAGTCTCCGGTCTCCCATATTGCAGGCAATCTTATTTTGCTTAAAACTAAAATATTTCTCGATTTTTTTTTTTTTTAATAAACTGGCTTTGCTGGCAGTTTCGTGTCCCAGAAAGAGGAAGACACAAGAGGACTCTTGTGATCTCGGGGTGAGGAAATGGTAGGTTTCACCGCCAACTGGGACCTCCAGGGTCAAGGCAGACAGCGGGGAACCCGTCCTGGCAAACTGGACCTCCCGAATCTCAGGAACCAGGAAACCCAACACGTATAGAGTGAAGGGAGATTCAAATGCAAAAGACTGAATCTGTCTTTGAAGGGAGGGGAGGGGAGGGGAGGAGGAAGAGGGAGGAGAGAGAGGAGAGTACAGGGTGGGAAGCCAGGATGGGGAGAAGAAAATGCCAAGGATCTTTTTTTTTTTTTTAAGATTTTATTTATTCATGAGAGACACACACACACACACACAGAGAGAGAGAGAGAGAGAGAGAGAGAGAGAGAGAGGCAGAGACACAGGCAGAGGGAGAAGCAGGCTCCATGCCAGGAGCCCAATGTGGGATTTGATCCTGGGACTTCAGGATCACGCCCTGGGCCAAAGGCAGGTGCTAAACCGCTGAGCCACCCAGGGATCCCCAATGCCAAGGATCTTAAGAGAAACACGTTGAGCAGACTTTCAAAGGACCCGTGGGAAGGTGACGATATAACCTATCACAGTAAAAGGAGATTCACGAACCAAAATCCCAGCATCAGGCCGCGCGGAGAAAGCCAGGACCTTGGCTTCCAGGGCTGGGGCACACCATGAACCTTGTCCAAGGGCAAAACGCGGGGCTCCAGTCTGACCCCCGGATCTAAGCCCCGACCCCAAGCACTGTACTGCCTTGCACTCCCCATCCTCCCCAGCAAAGGGGCCTGAGTCCTCCCATCAGCCTCGGGGAGGCCGGGAGATGAGAGGTGCGGCCAGTGCACGGGTGCTCAGGTGCCCCCCTGCCGTGGCCAGGCCGCGCTCCCTCCGCTCTCACCTGCGCACAGGTGGGCCCGCCAAACCGAGCTGCCGGCATCGGAGCTTCCGCAGGCCAGGACGGCTTAGTCGTTTTGCAAGTGAAGGGGGAAATACCCGACACTAGCAAAATACACCTGTGGCCAAATATAGTCGGTGCAGGAGCAATTTCTTTTCTTGGTAGTGGGAAGGCGTTTATGGTTTGGGGGATGTCAGAGGGACCGTAAAAACCCTTCATCTCGGGGATCCCTGGGTGGCTCAGTGGTTTAGCACCTGCCTTCAGCCCAGGGCCTGATCCTGGGGTCCCGGGATCGAGTCCCGCTTCTCCCTCCACCTGTGTCTCTGCCTCTCTCTCTCTCTCTCTCCTCTCCTCTCCCTCTCTCTCTCTCTCTCTGTGCGTGTGTCTCTCATGAATAAATAAATAAAATCTTAAAAAAAAAAGACCTATTGAATGAAGACCAAGATGATCGATCAATAAAATTAACTCATCACGCAGCACATTCCAAACCACTGGAGACCCCAAAGGCCGCCTAAACGTTACTAGCCGGGGACCCGTTCAACGAGTGCGCTCTTCTCCCCCGAGAGGCCCAAGAGCTCCTCCGCGGGGCTTCGGGTGCCAGACAAGCTCCGAGGGTGTTTCACTGGTAGGAACGTGGACTGTGCTCTGCACACACAGCTGCCCCGCGCACGCTCGTCCACTCACCAAACCGCGGGGTGCTTCCGAGCCGCAGCTTCACGCCAGGGGCCCCGCGCAGGCAGAAAGCTCGTGGCTTCGGTCCCCGCGGCAAATACACCCCTGCCACCCTGCCCTAGGGATCCAGCGAGGAGGCGTGTTGGCCTCCTTAGTGCATGTGGACAAGCGCCTTTCGCCCGAAGGAATTCATGTCCCCCCAGAATATTTAGAAGATTCCAAAACGCCCCAGGGATCTGTGTGGACATCGTGCAGAATCATACGTGTGTTTCATCCATTACCTTGCTGCTGCTCCTCTTATTAACTTTGAAGAATCCCAGAAACTTTTTCTTCTCTTTATCTGTCTCATCATTGCCAAGTGACGATTTTCTAAAGGTTTCTGGGGAAGGAAAAAAAAAAAAAGGTCTGTTATTATCAGCATCTGAAACGAGGTTAAAGAACTCCTTAAAAATCTCAACAAATGAATCCTCTGCTCTTAAACTTGTAGTTTTTATAAGGCAGTGAAAACACCAAGTATTTTTTTTTTTTTTTCGGAGCGTTTCGAGCCACCTCAAAGCCTCCGGTCTCATTGGTGAAATCACTACAAGTTCTTAGGATGCCCAGGGATTTGGGTGGCATCGTTCTCTGGGTGGCATGGAACCCTGCATGTGATGAAAAAACAGCCACACCACAAAGTCCTGGGGCAGTACCATCCCCTAGAAAAGGAAAGTGAGCCAGACATGCAGCTTCACACTCCTTGCAGGTGCAGCCTTCCTCATGTGCTCCACGTAATCCAACAGACCTAAAATATGATCATCGCATCATACAACCCATGGGAAAATTATTAATGAGATGTTTTAAATTCACTTTGGGCCCGAGTCTTCCAAACGCAGGGTGCAGGTCACGCAGCACAACTGGGCTTGGACCGGCCACACTCCCAGTGCCCAGGAGCCACACGTGGCCCTGGGGACCCGGACGTCTGTGTAAAACATCTGCTTTAGGAATTAGGAGCGAGGCGGAAACACGGACTAAATAAAATAAACCCACAGCTTTCCGGCTCGGGGAACCCCGCTCGTCTCTGGAACATGGAACGGCAGCGAGGGTTCCCCGGGGTGGTGTTGAAATAATCACGCGTGACCCTCGAGGATTCACGTTTCCAGATCCGCCTTCCTCGACCTCAACCGCAATGTTCTCCTCGGTCACGTTCTCGAGGGGGCCCGTTCTTCCTTCATTGATTGTTCTGGGATTCTTTTTTTTAATTTTAATTTATTTATTTATTTATTTATGTATTTATTTATTTATTTATTTGATTTTTTTTTTTTTTTTGTTCTGGGATTCTTGAGCTCCCGAGCGTCACTCTTCTCTCTCTCTCTTGCTGTTTCGTCCTCATGAGACGTTCCCAGCTGGAAGGAGCCCCCCGGTGCCCCAGCTGGGGCCACCGAAGCCCCCCGCTCGTCAGGCGGTGGGGCTGAATCAGGTAAGTGCCCCGCTGTCCTGCATGCCACGGGCTTGCTGACACGCCACGGCCACTCCAGCCCCCGGTTCTCCTCTTCCAGGGCACACAGGGACGGCGACAGGGGAATTGTCTGAGCAACGAGCTTCCCCAGCCCACCGCCAGCCGCTGCAGGGCCAGGTCTCCAATCTACCAGTGGAAGGAGGAAGGAGCCGGACTGGGACCATACCACGCAACTACCAACGCGGACAACGTGCCCACCAGTGACCTTCCGTATCTGCTGGCCTAGGATTTCAGGCTCCAGTTAGAGAACACACACGTTAGCGTGTTAGCAGTCAAGGCATTGCTATGGCTACTGTGTCCCCAACAAGGTAAAAGCCAAACAGCTCCATTCACGCAAGTCATCGTGTCAGTGGCAAAGGCTCGCTCTCAGCAGGGGGCCCGGGCTCCGGGTTATGTGCAGGCGGCTCCGGCAGACCAGGGCACCCTCCACATCACGCGGCATCCAGGCCAGGGAGCAGGGAGGCTCCAATCACGAGGCATGCATCCCCGCACGCACACGTGTGCACATGGATTTCAAGGCCAACCGCGCTGAAATCCTGCACGCGAGGCTCAAAGCCTCGAAGATTAATATAAACCATGCCACAGGGTAAAGCTGCATGTGGTGAACGGCGGCATACGTGAGTATGTGTATTTATAACCGGTCACGTTTCCAGGACGGAGGGACGGGTGACACGGATGTAGCAAGACGCCTGCCATCACAGCACCCCAGGTGGACAAGAGGGCGGGGTACTGGCGCACAGGTGGTTACACGAACCGCAGAAACGACAGATGTCCCAGAATCGAGGCTCTTTCTCTCCCTGAACAGCAACAGAGGCTGGTCGCCAACCCCAGGGGGCTGGAGGCCCAGGGGCAGGCCCGAGAGGTACCCCCCTGTGTGGCCGTGGGCTGAGGCTCTCTGGAGGCAGCAGGGGCCCCAAGCAGAAGGTGTTGCACAGAGGGGCGAGGGACTGGCGGTTCTGTAGTGACAGGTGCCGCCCGTGAGGCCTCGGGGACGCTGCAGGAGGCCTGGCCTGAGGGCAGAGCAAGAGCACCCAGTGTTCCTCAGTGTCGCCATCAGGCAAGGTGCTTGCCACGCATCAGAGCGGTCACTGGCCACGGACACACAGCCAGGCGGAGTCCTAGGCCCAGAATCCACGGCTCCAAACACACGACGACCTGAGTACAAAGACTGTTTTCTTTCAGTTGACCCTGATTTACTGAAAGTTCAACAGTCATCTGAGTTTAGGGGCAGACGTGCTCCATCCCTGAAAATGCACACACTGTGGTGAGGACGAGTGTGACTCGGAGAATAATAAAGACGAACTGCACAGTACAGAGGGCACAGGACGGGGGCAGGGGCCCCGGAGACCAGCTAATCCGAACCGTGCACTTTTCCAGATGAGCCAGTGGAAGGTCAGAGCCGTTCAGGGGCCCGAGCGTGGTCACAAGCAAGGAAGCACCGGAGCAGACTCGGGCCTGCATTTTCCAAGTGTGCAACACGGGCCTCCTCCCCATGGCAAGCTGCTGAGCTCTGGGCCCAGCCTGAGCCCGGGTACACTGGGGTCTTTGGCCGACTCTGCTGTTCTCCGTCCGCTCCTTGCCCCACGTCAAACCGATCCAAAATGAAGAAGGCTTCACATATATGACTTTTCTGCTCCAAACAACTGTCACTCATGGTGCTTCTTAAAAGACAGCCGTTCTGGGCCAGCCCCGGTGGCTCAGAGGTTTGGCGCCTGCCTTTGGCCCAGGGCGCGATCCTGGAGACTTGGTATCGAGTCCTACATCGGGCTCCCTGCATGGAGCCTGCTTCTCACTCTGGCTGTGTCTCTGCCTCTCTCTCTCAAGAATAAATAAATAAAATATTATATATATTAAAAGAAAAAAAAAACAGCCGTTCTGTTGGCAGCAGATGATATGACGGGGTCCGTAACCGACAAGGACCTCGGTCAGATGCAACGTGCACAGTCTCCTGTTCCAGGCCGGTGCCCAGTTCTGTTTCTTGAAACTTTTTTATGTGAAAGACAAATACTCACTGGGATTTTAATGAACTTTTTGGACACCGTGTACGTGTGTTTAGTCCAAAAAGTTCCCGTAAATTCCAATATATGTGTAAGTGTATATATCACACATATGTGCACGTGTCCACGTAACTACACATATGTATGTAAAGGGTATACTGTCGGAGTAAATACAAAAGCGGGACTGATCATGGGCATACTCGTCTGCGACAGAGAAGGTTACATTTCACAATCGGTGCGGCCCCCAATTCTGCAGCACATGGAATGGACCTCGAGGGCAGGTGAGCACAGGTGAGCACAGGTAGAAAGGAAGACCACGTGTCCTCTGCATGTGCCCCTTTGGCCCTGCCCTGAAATCCTGTGCTCCCAAAGGGCTCCTTTTCTACAACACCCTCCTTCATTTCCCAGCAATTGGAACCACATGGCAAATCCGCACGCAAGGGACATTCTCCTCTCAGGCAACCCGGGAGCCGAGAAACCAAGCCAAAGCCTCATGTCAGCCGACAAGACGCCCCCGACGTGGTGCAAGGCACACCAGCGGCACTTCCATGCACTGTCCTAGTCAGAGCCATGCAAAGCCCAGCCGGGCGGGACCCAGCTCACTGTACCTTGACAGCTCAGGGAAGGCTCCGACTGAGTTTTGGTCAGAAGAACTGGAAGAAGCAGGTAACGAGACAGTGAGACCCAGCTCCCCACCTGCAGCAGCACCTGGCCACGGCCGCGGCCCCCCCAGGAGCCTCGCAAGGAAGGCGGTTGTCTGTGCCCCTGCAGGACAGGCCAGGAGCCAAGCAGGCCCGGGATCTCCAGCCGCCAGCTGCCAGGCTGCTAAGCCCTCCCGAGGAAGCAGGTGGCAGCAGAGACTTGTGTCATTTCAAGCTGCCGCGGCCAGGAATTCCAGAGGAGGCCAGCCCCTGCCTAGCAACTCGCCTCCCCCAGCCATGGCCCGCGTCCACCGGAGCAGCTGCTGGCTGGGGAGGGGACCCGAGGAGAGGGTTCCCTACAGGCGTCTTCTGGAATGTTCTCCTTTCTTCTCAAATGCTGGACTGCCGGCAGGGATACAGGCATTTGGCTAAAGGCCTTTGGCAGGGATGATGATCAAATACTTTGCAGCCAGCACGGCCCATGGCACAGTATGATCCCGAGGAAAGGGGGGCTGGCCATGGGCTGGAGCAGCTCACCCACCAAGCCGGCTGCTGCTCCTTTATTTTCCAGGGAAGGTGCTGGGGTCCCAAAGGGGAGGGTCCCTCAGAAGACGCCCAAGGCAGTGAAGAAGGGCACTCAGGGCTTGGGTACAGCTATGCCCCCAAGTGAAGGACTTCCACATCCGACGCTGCGTGGGGACGGGAAGCGGGAGCCCTAGGCCTACAGAGGTGCCCGCCCTTGAACACCTCGCTCGTGTCCTGGACCAGTGTGAGCTCGCTGGGATCCCCTCCTGCACGGGGCGGCCAGTTTTCTAGGTCTGTCTCCAGGTAATAAGAGGTTCTACATCTACCTTCCAAGAGGTAGCTGATTATCGACCTAGAACAGAAATAGCTGTTTGTGTAAGACTTCTCCGCATACTTGTGTGGGACAGTTTTTCTTTTCTTTTTTTTTTATCTTGCCAGATGAAAGCTGTGTTTCCAAAGAGGCACAGAAACCAAATTTAAATAGGGCTGATATAACCAGATAGACGCACCCAGTATATCCAGGCCCGTGTAGCAGATGCTGGGAATAATCTCGTCTGGGTTTTAAAAAGATGCTGCAGAAAGCACAAGACGCCCTGCTCTCAAATGTCAGAGCGCTATTTTTTTTTTTAAAGGAATAGATGGTCTATGCATCTTCTACGTGATTGAGATAAAACCCTTTCTGGAATGTCAAATGAGACCTGGGGTCCAAAGCATCTAGAAGATTTGAGGGAGGAGAAGAGGTTCCATTACGATCATTGATTTTGCAATGAAACCGGTAATCAGGAAAACAGATTTTCTTGAAAGAATCTGAAACAAACTGTAGGAAAAAATGAAAGAATGGGATATATTTCCACAACCCAATTTACTCAGTATTTTTGGAATAAATAAAAGGCTAAAGATACCGAATGAACCTCATGAACATAAGACACTTTTATGAAGTTCATTCTAATAATGCTAAGGTCAAGGAACAGTCATTTGTTTTGTTTTTTTTTTTTTTTTTTTTTTCATTCGCTCGCTCATTTATTTATTTTGGCCTCACAGCTGCTGGCATACAGTCCGCCCTGGGTGTTAATCAGGGAACTCTGCTCACACGCGCATCTGCCTCTGTGCCAACACCGACCCCTGCCCGGTGGTTCTGGGCCCTTGGGTCAAGTACCAAACTCACACAAAGAGTGAGATGTCTCTGGCAGTGATGGTGAGGAAGCCCCGGGTGGCATCGCGGGCTGGGTTCAGGGACTCACCTCATCACGAACTCGAATTCAGGCAGTTTTTTTTTTTTAATTTTTTTTTTTTTTTTGAATTCGGGCAGTTTTAGAAAAACTGCAAAGTGTGTTTTGCCATGGGTTTCCTGTTTTGTTTTGTTTTAAATAAAGATCTTATTGGGGCACCTGGGTGGCTCAGAAGTTGAGCGTCTGCCTTTGGCTCAGGGTGTGACCCCAGGGTTCCGGGATCGAGTCCCGCATCGGGCTCCCTGCAGGGAACCTGCTTCTCCCTCTGCCTGTGACTCTGCCTCTCTCATGAATAAATACATAAATCTTTTTTAAAAAAAGTTTTATTTATTTGAGACAGAGAGAGAACTCAGTTGCTTCACTGACCGAGTGACCCAGGTGCCCCCTTTGCCACCGGTTTTGATGATGAGCAATGTTTGAGACTTGGGGCATTTACTGGTAATGGAATAAAATGCAAGAGGAGATGGTTCACGTGCGCCTTCTGAGTGGTTCTGCTAGAGAACTACTTTTTATTTACCTTGAGGGAGCTCAAAGGATATGGGGTCATGCTCAGGCTATGCTCAGGATGGGGGCGGTGGGAAGGGGCGTAGTTATAATTGAGGGGAACAGGAACAGACCCAATTTATTTTCTGCGACTTCAGCTGTGCTTTGGAGAAAATTGGGGTCGCCTGAACATTCAGGTGTGGGTCTCCACCTGGCCCCTGGGGCGCTCAGGGGCGGTGGGTGTGTGCTTCCCGCCCATGCCCTTACCTGGCAGGTGTTAGGGATGCCAGGTGGCCTCACCTCGTTTATTGTCCCAGGCGTAGAGTTCCTTTATCCCCAGCTCATTGAGAGACTTGGAAAGCTCCAGCTCCTCCCCAGCAATGTTGTCCCTGAGGAGGACCACGTGCTCCGGGCTGACTTCGCACTTTGCACAGATGACCGGGAGAATGTTCTGCAGCGGCACCTCGGGGCTCACGCGTACAACAGCCTTTTGCGTTCGTAGGTAATTCACTACCAAGCGCACAGATTTCTGGAAGAACACCCCAGACGAAGGAGTTCAGTTAAGTGTGTGTCGTCATGTGGCTTCCACCCTCTGCCTGTGTGCTGGGGTTGACTAAGGCAAGCGGTTGTGCAGCCCCAGCCCTTTGTCCCCAGCTAGGGGGGGGGGGGGCACAGGGGAAGCGACAGGCCGAAAAGCGAACAGGGAATACCTGCAGTGATAGACTCACCTTAGCATCTCTCACTAGGGAACGAGCAGCGTGAGGGATCTGGATTTATGATCTAACACCTACGCTGTCTTTCAAGGATCCCAACCAGACCCAAACACGAGGCGCTTACATATATTTTGTAAAGGAAAATCGTTTGAAAGTGTCATGAACAATTCAATCTAAAGAAAAGCCCTCAGGGCCCCTGGGTGCCTCAGGGGTTGAGCATCTGCCTTCGGCTCAGGGCATGACCCTGGGGTCCTGGGATCGAGTCCTGCATCGGGCTCCCTGCATGGAGCCTGCTTCTCCCTCTGCCTGTGTCTCTGCCTCTCTCTGTGTGTCTCATGAATAAATAGATAAAATCTTTAAAAAAAAATAAAAATAAGGCCTAAGAAAAACCAAGATATCACATTTTTATTTAAGTAGCCAAAAGACCCATGTAAATATATTAATATCTATGTAAATATATATAATGTGTATATGTGTCTGTGCAAACATATATTTTTATATATTCTGCACACACATTTAAACCAGAAAAGGGTAACTGATACACAACGGACATATACGTCTAATAAAGACAGACGTCATAATCAGAAGAAAAAAATCAGCGTGACTAAAGCTGATTCTAAACGTCTACTGATAAACTGGCCACCAAAAAAGAATTAAATATGCCAAAGTTTCATGCAGTCAGCTTGTAATTGGCCTTTACTGATGTGACATTGTCTGGAAATGCTGGAAAGTGGCCACAGTAAGTGTTGAGTTGGATAAAACCCGACTTAGGTGGGTCCGTGCCCCTTTCCAGGGTACAGATCCCACCAATTACAATTTACCAAGCTCCCAAACCTAATATTTATAGAAGATGGACTGTTGGCCAAATCGCCATTTTTTAGAAGCAGAAAAATTGAGCAGCTATTTCCAAGAATCGAATACCTTTTAAATGGAGCTAAAAGACCCAAAGCAAAGCTTTATGAAGAAGTGCCATAAGCAGCCGGACTTCCCTGTGATCAATGAGCGAAAGCCTGAAATAAATCTGCGTGTAAGATACTCTCCAAGTGCAGGAGTAAACATTTCTGACCTCTGTGTTCTCCAAAGGCGAAAGCTTCTGGTTTTCCCGTCTCTTTCGGAAGAAGTTCAAATCTCCCCTCATTTTTTTCCCCTCGGCTTCCTGGGCCAGGAAGGCCTCCAGGATGGAAAAGGAGAATCTTTATGAAGCCGCTAGGCAGCGGCTGGGTACTTGTGGTTAAATTTATTTATTTATTTATTTATTTATTTATTTATTTATTTATTTATTTAAGATTTTATTTATTTATTCATGAAAGACACAGAGAGTGAGAGGCAGAGACACAGGCAGAGGGAGAAGCAGGCTCCATGCAGGGAGCCCGACGTGGGACTCGATCCCGCGACTCCAGGGTCACGCCCCGGGCTGAAGGCAGGCGCTAAACCGCTGAGCCACCCAGGGATTCCCTTGTGGTTAAATTTAGATTGATTAAAGATTAAATACAACGAAAGGCTCCGTTTCTCAATCACACGAGCTGCCTTGCACCTGCTTAGCAGCCACACGTGTCCAGGGGTGACCACTGTGGAAAGTGCAGAATTATAGCCCATTTCCACCTGCGCAGGGCGTTCCAGCGGCTAGCTCTGCTCTAGACTGATCCTTCTTCTATAATAAACAAGGGAGCTCGGTTACCATGACGAGTATTATTCAAGTCATGGGCCCTCAGGTAACAGAGGGGACCCCTTCCCCCCGCCTCTGCTGCCCCACTGACCTCAGGGGCCTTAGGTGGGCCGGGTTTCACCTTCTCTTCGGGAACTTTCTCTTTGAGGAATACAGTGTGAACGTTCAGGGTCCCAACTAAAGTATTTGGCTTAAAACTCAGAGGCTGTTGGGTTTCCGAAGAACGGATCTCGAGGGCGTGGTGGGATGGATTCAGGTGGTTCTGAAGGCAAAGTTCAACCAGTAGGTCCATCATGGCATGGCTGGAAAAGGGGAACACAGCACACCGATTAGGCAAGTTTGCACCCTGCCTCCCGTCCAGCTGATAAGGGTCAAACCCACACACCAGTAGGTGAGAGCAAATCGGTCGTGCGTACGATGGGCAACCACAGCTCGTGAATTCTGGTGCCCGACTGGGCAGCGCCATCCTCACATCTCCAACGCTGGTAAACCACAACCCAAAGAGCAGCCGTAAGAGCTGGGGAGAGAGTTCTATTTGCAGTTAAGTCCATGGATGCGTGGACTCGAGTCCTAGAGGCTAATTAGCACGAGCGATACTGCTAACCACTGAGTATTCTGTGATCCAGAAGTATAATGTGCCTTAAAAAATGAACATTTAAAAAAAGATTGTATTGACTTATTTTAGGGGGAGGAGGAGAGGGAGAGGGAGAGTCCTAAGGAGACTCGGCGCTAAGTGCGGAGCCCAACGCAGGGGCGGGGGGGGGGGGGGGCTGGGTCTCCTGACTCTGAGGTCATGACCTGAGCTGAAACCAAGAGTCAGGGATCTCTGGGTGGCGCAGCGGTTTGGCGCCTGCCTTTGGCCCAGGGCGCGATCCTGGAGACCCAGGATCGAATCCCACGTCGGGCTCCCGGTGCATGGAGCCTGCTTCTCCCTCTGCCTATGTCTCTGCCTCTCTCTCTCTCTCTGTGACTATCAGAAATAAATAAAAAATTCAAAAAAAGTTAAAAAAAAAAAAAAAAGAAACCAAGAGTTGGTTACTCGACCAACGGAGCGCCCCAAAACTGAAAATTTTAAGCTGTAGATGATAGCTAAAAAGAATTATGCCTTTTTAAAGACAAAAAAATAAAAAAAAAATCCCTAAGAAAATGACCTTGTTTGAATGTCAAAAATGGTCATAATGTCCCCATCACAGGGAATCACTCACGAAGGGAGGGGAGTAACAATCCAGATTACCCCAAATGATTTCCTTTGCCGCATTTACATCCACCTGGCAGACGGTTTTTATACCTAAAGCTGGTCCCCCTGCCCCTAAATCTCCCCGGCAGTGGAGCATCACGCCGCCCGTGAAGAAGGCACAGGTCTTTCCAGGGACCTAGTTCTTAATCAGGAAGTGACATGGCAATTAATTCAGGCCACAATCACGCTTTTGCGGGCACCTGGGGGCCCGGGTGTGCAGACCAGGGGCTGCAACACACCGATGGCGGCCCAGGCACCCGCCGCCCACCCTGAGGGCCGTGAGCTGCTGGGGCCCCCGCTCCGGGCAGGAGAACCCCGGCAAGGCCCCGGCCACAGCGGCTCCCCCAGGTGCCCTACTCCTCGTCCAACTGCCTCAACAGAAGATTAATCAGTCCTGCTCGGATTGGCACAAGGTCGCTGCGCCCTCCTCCGGGTCCCAGGACTCCGAGGGGGTACTTGGTGGGGCCGAGGCCGAGCGCAGCCTCGGAAGTGCCCCAGCCACGCTGGCTCCTCATCCTGACACTCTGATTCCTTGGGCTCCGGCGCTAAGACCATCTTTACTCCGACAAGTGGCTTAATGCAACGCAGCCAAAAGGCTCCACGACATGATGCGGCTGCGCCGAGAGGCCTCGGTACAGGAAACAGGCTTCTAACCGGGCTCACACGGCCTCCCAGCCACCAGGTCTGGGACGTGGGGTCTCCGGGGAAAGGGGCGGGCTCGGACCTCGGTCCGTTGGGGGCTCCTTTCCTGTCCTGCTACTCCCATGCGGGGAGCCCGACGTGGGACTCGACCCCGAGTCTCCAGGATCACGCCCTGGGCTGAAGGCAGGCGCCAAACCGCTGGGCCACCCGGGCGCCCTGGGGAAGGAGCTTCTCAACAAAACATTTGGGGGACAGAGGGCAGGTGGATGAAGCAAGAGTTCCCAAGCAGGAGATTCTGTGTGCGGGAGGGTTGTCTCCTCACACTTAACTACTAAATTCGGGGGCGGGACGTCTGGGGGGCTCAGAGGTCGAGCACCTGCCTTCGGCTCAGGGCGTGACCCCGGGGGCCCGGGATCGAGTCCCATGTCGGGCTCCCCGCAGGGAGCCTGCTTCTCCCTCTGTCTGGGTCTCTGCCTCTCTGTGTGTCTCTCATGAATAAATAAATAACATCTTAAAAAATAAATAAAGTTGGGGGAGGTAAAGGCAAAAAAAATTAAAAAAAAAAAACAGAAACAAAATAAAACACCGTCCGAGCGCGATCCTGAAGCCTGGCCACCGCGCAGGCCTGTGCGAGGATCACCGAGGCCGTTGCCAAGCACCCGGGCCGGGGCCGCGGACCGTCCTTCCAGCGGCAAGAACGCGGGGCGGGACGAGGGGCTCCCGCAGGACATCGGAGGGGAGCTCAGGTCCTGAGAGCCGCGTCCTCCTCCTTCCTCGGGGCTTCGTCTCTGTCACTCCCGGGGGGACGCGGCGCCCCGACGGGCCCAGACGCGGGCTGCACTTGGGAAGCGGGACACGCAACAGCCCCAGCAGGACCCGACCCGCCGCTTGAGCTCACCTCGCGCCACTGACCACAGGGCCTCCAGTGTGCGTGACCCTTCCCAGGCCCAGTCCAGACGCGACCTGATTTACCACTTCTCGGCCACACGCTTCTTAGGATCGTGTCTGCGTAAAATGAGGTGCGGGTGGGAGTGGGGGGCCTCTCTGCCATTTCCCACCCCACCGGTTAACCCGCCCCTGCTGGCATTTAAGACGCCCAACTCCCAAGAGTATGCAATCCCTCCAAAGCTGCTTTGATGCCCCTGCAAAAATTTACCCAGAAAGATGGGGTGAGGGCGGGGGGAGCCAGAGCACAATGGCAGCGACGCCCCGACGGGCGGGGATGCTCTGCCCGGTCCCCGTGGCCTTCCGTTGCGGGTCTGCAGCCCTGAGCCTGCAGATGTCCACAGCTTCCCTGACCGGTGTCACTCGCCCCCCCGGGGCCTCAGCCGGGCCCTATGCCGCTGCCACAGGATAGAACTTTCCTGAGTCTGGAAGAGGCGGCCTGCGTACTCACACACATTCTCGACGCCTCCGGAGCCTGGACCTCCGCACCCGGCCGCTGCCCCACACGCAGGGCCCCCGCGGCGGCCGGCAGCTTTGCCCACCCCACGCCCGCTCCGGGAGGTTGCGCATCCTTCCGCAGCAGAGAGCTGCCTGGGCAGGAGTCCTGGCACCGCCTCTCACCCATTCTCAGACCTGCCTCCCCGTGCCTCGGTTTCCCCGCCGGTGAAGGCGTGCGGACGGCGCGCACCTGTTAGAGACTTCGATGAATGAACGCTTGTAAGGCCGCGAGCCCGGGGCCGGGCGTGTGGTACGTGTGATGTGCTTTGCAAAACGCAAGAGTCCATTTGTTCGCGTCTTTTCTACGTTGGGGTCCTGCGTGGAGGTGCCTTCTGTGGCTGGAGCGGAGCATCCCTGCACGTGGCTGGACTGCGCTCGGCTCTCGGCAAGCACCACGGTGGCCCAAGGCTCTCAGGAGCTAGCGTCCCTGAGACGCCGCTCAGTCAGCTTTCCCCAGTCTGCCGGAGAAGGAAAATAAGGCAACCGGCCGCCCGCAGAATGCCGAAAGAAGAATCCGGTGTATTGAGAACGGGGGCTGCAGGGGCGCCTGGGGGGCTCGGCCGGTGAGGCACCTGCCTTCAGCTCAGTCATGAGCTCGGGGTCCTGGGGTCGAGTCCCGTGTCGGGCACCCTGCCCAGCGGGGAGCCTGCTTCTCCCTCTCCCCTCCCCACAACTCATGCTCTCTCTCAAATAAATAATTTTTTTTTTTAAGAAAGTCAACTAGATCATCAGTGCTAAGAACCCAAAGCTCACCCATGGGGCCTCAGGGGACCCTGAAGTTTAACACGTAATCCGAAAGTCCGGGCAGGTTAAAGGTAAGAGAACTGGGGCCTCCCCTCAGGGTTTCTGAGCCTCTAGGACTGGTCTGCGGGTCTGCGTTTCTACCAAGTTCCCAGGGATGCAGCCACGGTTGGTCGGGGCCCACACTTTGAAAACTACTTTACTCCTAGTAACTCATGAAATGAGCATTTAGGACAAATGCCCCAAATGGATAGAAGGTCCCCTCAATGCTGAGTTTACAAGTTACATCAAGGTAGCTACTTCTGGGGGCGCCTGGGTGGCTCAGTGGTTTAGCACCACCTTCAGCCTGGGGAGTGATCCTGGAGTCCCGGGATCGAGTCCCGCATCGGGTTCCCTGCACGGAGCCTGCTTCTCCCTCTGCCTGGGTCTCTGCCTCTCTCTCTCTCTGGGTCTCTCATGAATGAATGAATGAATGAATGAATGAATGAATGAATGAATAAGTAAATAAATAAGTAAATAAATAAATAAATAAATAAATAAATAATCTTAAAAAAAAATAAGCATCTGACTCTCGGTTTTGGCTCAGGTCATGACTTGGGATCGTGGGATCCAGCCCCGCATCAGGCTCCCTGCTCAGCACAGAGTCTGCTTCTCTGTCTGCTTGCTCCTCCCTCACCCTCTCTTTCCCCTCTCTCTGGAATAAATAAATCTTTTTTTTTTTTTTTTTCCAGGCAGCTACCTCTGGACACGATGTTAAAACGAACACATTCAACGTGCACTTAGTTGGACTAAACTGGTCGAATGCAGCTTAGTTTCTTACGTGGAACCAAGGACAACAGGCAGTCCCGAGCCGTGAGTAAGGCCAAAGCCGAGAACGTGCGGCCTAGCAGCTTTGTGTGGCATCGGAGAGGCAGGATACGGCAAGATGTAAGCGGGCCCACGGGAGACCGGTCCCCATGGGTGAGGTCAGGTACCAAGGAACACACGGACAGCACATCCAGCAGGACGACAGGGAGGCCAGGAGGCAGAAGAAGCCACAGCCAGAGAAGTCCGTGGGTCAGAGGCCGGGCTCCAGGCTGGAGACTAGGGTCCCTGACAAGAGTCTAGTCTTGGGGAAACCGGGGTCGTGGGCCCAGCAAGGAGCACCGAGGGCCCCGAGAGCAGCAACGCGGCCAGGGAGGGGTGCCTTCACCTCGTGCAAGTCAGAAGCCGAGTCATCAGGACGATGGCTCCCCTTCA